GAGATATGTCTTGCCCTGAATCGCCCAACTGCTGAGCAGCTTCATTAAGTATGTGCGAGTGTTTACTAATGCTTATCACGCCACAGAAAACAGGCTATAGCGGTTCGAAATAACTGGGAAAAGGAATGTCGACAGTTTGTAACAACTGTAGAAAGCAGAATATAGGTCCCATCCTTGTGACCGGAGAGCGCAAGAAGAACTGCCTCCGCGCCCATGCAGAGGAGGAGGAGGAGGATGCAACTTTATTTGAAAAAAAAAATCAAAGTACATGTGGTTGGGCCCCTAGACGTCCGGGAGGCCCCTGGCCGATATCTCTAGGCATGCCCGGTGCACCAGCCACAACTGGTCGTCTAAGCCAGTGACCCGAAGAACGGCCTCCCACGAGGAAAGGGAAGGGTTAGGGATAGAGTCTACCGCTACGGGCTTTGGGCAGTTCCACGAGCAGTGGAAAAGATCAGCCCGGGGTGCCCCGCAGGTGGTGCAATGTGGTTGGTGAAGAGTAGGGTAAATAGGCGTCCATGCAGAAATAGCACCGTACATGCGCTCGGTCGTGTTCTCTAAAGGCCGGGTCACCATCCATCCAACTCGTGAGGGCAGTGCATGGCTGTGTACATCCGCGTTTAAGGTGGTAATGTCGCTACGTCCAAATGTTGTACACCACTGTGCTCATACAGAGTACGCTAAGCACGGTATAAATAACATTACATCGGCCCTGATTGATCCTGCTTATGCTGGCTAAGTGGTTTTGTGACATGCAAGTTAAAGAAATAGGCGTGTAGGTCGCCCTTGTCTGACGCCATGCATTATACATGCTTCGCGCTCTGCCAGCTCTAGAAAATTTCGCCATTATTGGATGCATCTTTCACTTCAGCATATGCAGCAGGCAATGTGATGCTATTTTTTGTGCACGGCTTCTGTAACCGCTTAACCTGTTTGCAGTCAATGTATACGATTAAGCTATATACTCCGTTCATGTGTCAACTGTGCACGATACGGTGCATGCTCATTTACTATAGTAAAAAAGATTTCTGAATGGCAAACAATGACCAGGGTTGCTTTTGGGTAGACGAGACAGGGAGCCCAAATTTGAGCTAAAAGAGTAGCCAAAGTTGCCACGCCATTTAATTTAGCGCCAAATTTGTATCGAAATAGAAAGAAAAGGTAATATGTATAGAGTGGTGGACTGATTGGTTGATATGTGGGATTTAACGTCCCAAAACCACCATATGATTATAAGAAACGCCGTAGGGGAGGGCTCCGGAAATTTCGGCCACCTGGGGTTCTTTTAACGTGCACCCAAATCTGAGCACACTGTCCTACATCATCTCCGCCTCCATCGGAAAAGCAGCCGCCGCAGCCGGGATTCGAACCCGCGACCACGTATATAGTGGTTAGCATTCTACAGTATATACTATGAGACGTCCTACCCCAATTTTGCTTACGACTCAGTTCTGGGAACGATTGGGCTTCGGGAGTCAGAAAACACCGATACTAATATCCAGAACGGCTAAAATGTGGATGGCGATTCTGAAATAGACATTTTTTTTTTGCTGCACAATAATGTTTCAACACACGATGACGGCTCCGACCTTCCCTGCCTCCGAATGGCCGCCACCTGACCTGTTCTGTATGTGTCAACACACACACAAAGCAGGCCTACTCGGCATACGCGTGTCTCCATACTCTCCGCGACACGCTCTTGGCGCGTCACGGAGTTAATACTCTTTCGTATACAGTTAATCATCATCAGCCTGACTACGTCTACTGCAGGACAAATGCCTCTCCCGTGTTCCGCCGGTTAACCCGGTCCTGTGATTGCTGCTGCCGATTTATACCCGCAAACTTCTTAATCTCATCTGCCCACCTAACCTTCTGTCTCCCCCTAACCCGCTCGCCTTCTCTTGGAATCCAGTTAGTTACCTTTAACGACCAGCGGTTATCCTGTCTACGCGCTACATGCCCGGCCCATGTCCATTTCTTCTTCTTGATTTCAGCTATGATATCCTTAACCCCCGTTTGTTCCCTAATCCACTCTGCTCTCTTCTTGTCTCTTAAGGTTACACCTACCATTTTCTTTCCATTGCTCGCTGCGTCGTCTTCAATTTAAGCTGAACCCTCTTTGTCAGTCAGTTAATACTCTTTTACAGTTACAGTTACAGTTTTACAGTATTACAGTTAAACTCTTCTTAAGGACCATGTTCACCCGTCTATGTCCGTGCAGGTTCTCACCCAGACAACGAAACCGCCACAGCCGGTTGCCTCTGCGACTAATGAAATAGTCCCGATCATGCGCTCGGCAGTGACTTCTGAAGGCGGCCAGCCGCCTCTTGAGGTCAATCTGGAAGGCGCAGCCGTTAGTGAATGCTTATGTGCATTTGCCTTTGAGAAGGAAATGCCACGGACGTCAAAATTTGTACCCGACTATAGTGCGAAACGCTCAACCAGCGTCATACACGATGACTGCATGGGGTGCCAAATGAAGAATATGGGGCGTGTTTGGGACTCCTTGTTTTCGTGATTCATTGAGTCACTGTTTCACAGACCAGTTATGCAATCTCGGACGCAACGCCGCAGCATTGTAAACGAAAAACCGCAAACGTTGCTAACTCAAAACCTGCGAGACAGTAGTGATAAAGGAACCATCGCAAAGCACTGTTGCATAGGTCATCTCTGGCGGCACGGCGTAGTAGGGCGAGGTTGCAGAGCTTACCGCAGCTTCCAATGTTATCACTAAACTCACGAAGTTTTACTTACTCTTAATGTATTCGCTTTCCGGCGACATGAGAGACCTGCGTCTCAAAAAGGGGTCTTCGGTGCAGAGCGCGAAAAAAGGCAGGCTGACCAAAACAACGGCTTTCATCTTCTTCCTCTTCCTTTGTTCGCTTCCTCCTAATTCTCGAAAGGCCGGTTGTTAGGTTGGGATTAGGATTTAATACATTCACCTTTTTATCGTTTGGAGCCAGTTGGGAACGGGCCGCAGTGCTATTCTATCCCCGCTTCATAAATTCATTCAGGCAACTGTAAGGATAGGTTGCTAGTGGTACCGCCATATGAATACAGTTTGCTTGTTTGTTTGTTTCCCTAGATAAATGGCACGTACCCACTTTGAAGGATTGGCCAAGAATGCAACGTTGAGACTGTTAAATGTAAGTGCTTTGGCTGGCTTTCCGAATCCTTTTGCCCTTTTTACTTTATTTATCCTTTTTATGTACGTTCTTATATCGTTTCTGTCTGATTTCTCTCTCTTTTAACAAGCATTGTATTTCAATTTTTGTTGTAAGGCTCAGTGTGGCCAATCTATCTAGTGGGTTGAGCTAAGATCTTTTAGGCGACAAAACAAAACAATTACCCACAGCTGGAATATGGCCTCGAGAAGCAGGCGTTCAAACGAAGGGTGGAGTGAACAACTCGCCACATTAAAGCTTCACATTATTTTGAGATGAAACCCTTACATGCCTCATCAAACGCAGTAAGTGAACATCAGCGGCAACGCGAGGAATTCGAAAATTCATCAGATGACGCCATCTACTCTCATCACCATGACGTGGAGGTTACCAAAATTTGTCACGTCATTATGACTTCAGATAGCGTCAAGTCGCCAATGACGTCATCACATGACAGTTAAGAAAGCTTACGCCACTATGACTGCAGCACTCTACTCTAGCTGTAGAGCACGAATATAAAGTATGATGAAAAGTTCAATGTCTAAATGTTTGTCATGACAAAAAAATGCTCACAGGCTCCCTTCTGAAATCACTGAAGGCTACTTGAAGGCGAAAACCACTTGCCGTGGCTATACTTTATACCCGCGTCAAAAGTTCACGAATGAACTGTGGCTAATATCCCTTACAATAATTTACTCCCTTCACTGTGTGGGTGCGCAAGATCACACGCTCCATGGCTCAGCATGGAATGTGTCCATGCTGAGTCGTGTTCATCTTAGAATCGGATGACCCTGTACGCACTTTGCATCTACCACCAGTCCTGTGGGATTGCAACATGTTTACGTGCTCAAAACTGTGCATATAGACAACCCTGTGTGTGCCTCTAGCTCCTTCTGCCAGCTTTTATCAAGTAGTTGTGCAATGCTAACTTGGCAAAACCAGTGTATTTATTTTTTCACTTTCTCTCAAGTGCTGCAGCATTGAAGCTGGTGCATGATAAAAGGAACATTTAGAAGGAACAAACATTTAACAGTGTTAATGATTGAGGAACAGTGTTCTCTCCAACAAAGGCCGGCGGCTTCCTCAATCCACATAGCTATCCTCCATGGCGGTTTACCTGACTTGCTAAAAGATGAAATTCCAGAATCTCGAGTTCTAAAGCTATGCTGGAGTGGGTGACTCTAGGTTGATCTAGATTGGCCAGGCTTCTTTAATGTTCACCAAAAGTAACGCACACAAGCTAGTTTCATTCCACACTCCTTATAACATAGCCATCATAACACAAGATTAAAACACCCGATATATATATTGGCAGCACAGCGCTACAAACTTTAGCCACTGATTTATCTTTAATGAACCATGATTTGAAAAAAATTAACAGAAGACAAATGAATATTTGCATTATGCAGACAAAAAACTGGCTAAGATTCTTTATACCCTTACGTAACTGGGCACTAGGATCTCGCATTTCACAGGAGAATAATGTACTGGTCAGGCAAATAATCGTAAATATAATTTCTGCAGTTTTATGTGCCAAAACCATATATTAAGAGGCATGCAATAGTGATTACTTTACCGTGTTACCAGATACCCCAAGAAATCTGCGTGTGCGTGGACCTTCACAGAACGTAAACTACTCGCCAAATGGGCTTTCCGCTTAAAGCCCTATCTCGAAAATCCCCCTTCGTTCGGGGCTTCTTGCGATATCCACTTCGCAGAGACTACGACCGCTGAGCGAAAATGAGCTGTATTGCGAGTGTGAATTGACCTCCCCTTGTTTTAGTCGGTAGTCAGCTTACCGAAGCTAGCGTGATCAAAGCAGGCACAATATTGTAATGCAGAAGCATCGTGCATTACACTTTTTGTATGTATATGCCTTGCAGCAGTATAAATATACGAATGTGTTGTCTTTATGATTATTTTTCCTTGATAAACAGTAGGGCGACTAAGCAATAACAAATGTGAGCATTAATGTGATTGCACGAAGCATCATAAAATGTTAACTGGGTACTGTTACACTTTTTGCATATATCAAGACATTGAACATACTAAAAACCTCTCATTATTTTGCTGAAGCAATGATTAAATCTTATCTAAATCAAATCGAGTTTAAATGGTGTTATCTTCATCATTTCGTGGTTTTAGCAGGTGTAAAGATATGCACCTTTACGTACGTACGTAAACATTTGCGCATGGGGAGCTAGGACTTTGCTCAAACATGTGTTACGGTAAATTCAGCCAAGTATTGCGGTAACACGGAAACGTTTCAAAGCATGCGTACAAGCTAGTGGTCTCTAATAGTAACCACCATAAGTTCTTCAACATTCATTCACATCGTACTTACATGGGCCTTCATATAAATGTGATCACCACAACTGAATTGAAGCTGTGCCTTTTGGATAAGCGGCAGAGCATCTTAACCAGCAGCAGCCATGAATGTTGCAAATATGTTTATCCAAGATAATAGCGACATTTGTCCTTACAAAACTAAAGGTATTTTATTGCCACTTCAGGTACTTTAACAGGTGCGAATTCATTCGGTGAATTCTTGTGCCAGCTGTTTTCTCGCCCAACTGAAGTCTATGTTGGCTATCTTCGATTTGAACTGACAGCTTTAGATAGAAAACAAATTTGCTTTGAAATAGAGCCTACAAGAAAGATTAACATTTCACTTATACACAGCAGAAATACTATGTTCTAAAACAGCATGCTTGAATGTCACACTGACACTGGTCTACATCCTTTACAGTTAGCATAAGAAGCCTTTGAAATAACGTTCAACAAGACAGATTTCGTAACCAGAAATTCCGATTTTCTGAATGTACTGGTATTGTATGCAACTGATATTCAGTGTATTAGTTTTCTAGGCATGAGGAAACCGAGTTGTTATACACTTTTTCTGTTGCAAGGACATTTGACAAACTTTTGTGTAACAGCACACAGAAAACAAGACCAAATAACTTTTCTAGAACAGTAACACAACTAAATCAACTGTGAACAGGTAGGAATGGAAGGCACACGAAACTTCCTGCATCCTAAAGATGCAAGGAAACTACATGAAATACTGCCACTATGTAATCTTTTCTTAGCACAACTAACAAGCAGGCATTTCGCTAAGTGAGGCGTAGCGCTTTGTAGCATAGTGGAAAAGTTGGCGCTCAATGTCGCCCAACAGTCCGCTTGCACCAATGCGGAACAGGTCAGGGAAAAGCCAATCATCTCCCAGCTCCTCCTTCATGAGAAACTGCCAGAGCAGCACATCTTTAGCTGTTCTGATGCCCCCTGCGGGCTTAAATCCGACCTGTAGAAGGTAAAAAAGTGTGTTGGTCATGCAAACATCATATGAACAAGAGGGCTGGGTATAAAGAAAAAAAAAAGACGGTACTTTTCAATTAAATTAGACAGGAATACAAGAAAAAAATCTTTAAGGCTAACAAATAAAATTGCAGGTCTTTTTTTTTTTTCTCAATTGACTGCAGTTTCTGACACCCAAACGACTGTGCACTGCCTGAACTGTTCGAATGTGCAACAAGTCTTAGGCTATATGTTATTTTCTTCAACTAGTTCAAAGCAAGCTACAAATGTAGCATTGGCTTTGTGGCTTTGAGAGTCCAGAGACAGAAGACTCTCACTACCAAATAAATCTCAGGGGTAGTGGTCACATGGCCACATAGTGCTTTGACCCTTACCCATCCCTAAATGTGAGTGATGCAGTGAATGCAGTGACAGTACTGCTAAATGCTGAGCATGGCTTGTATTAGAAAAAATTTCTCTTTGCAGCTAAGCATACAATTTGATCTATATAAACTTTGTCTTCTAAGTTGCCTTGAGGAAAATAGGTATGGTGCTAATGATATATGCCTGTAATATACTTTATCAATAACTATATCTGTAATTATATAACCTTTTTTGGTACCATGAATCTTTATGTTAATGAACAGTCAGCAACTGACATCCATGACACCCATGTTGGTTTGTGTATTCACTTCATCTCGATCCTTTTCGGGCCATACCTATTCTAATCAAGTAATGACACAAATAGCTTTGCAACAAGCCCTGTAATGTTGCCTTGCTTTCTCTGCACTGTTACCTCATCTCCTACATTTAAGTACAATCATAGCAATGGCACCTGAAACCTCAGCACCACCCAATGGCGACAACACATCAGCAGCTGCTGCATCACTTGCCGCCTGTTATGAACACCTAAAGCAACACTCTATTAGGCTGCACTTTGAACCAATTGTGTTAATAGATGATATATTAAGTTACTTATGATAAGTTTTAAGAGCTGTGGTTTCCTCATTCAATTATGACAATATACAGAATAAGCATCAGCTGGAGTGCAAGACCAATAATATATGTGCAAACGTGTTTATCGCAGCCAGTTCTAAGAACCTTGATCTTACTGTTGATTGGGTGTCATTGGTATTTTTCATTTTTTAAAGAAAAGAAGAGCACAAGAATAATTTTAATATTGTGGCATGCCGGAGAGAAATAAAGGCCCTTAAAGACTCATGCCATTTAGCATGACCAAGAAATGACTTGCCATGCAAAAAGTACACAACCTGAAGCTACCATCTCCCTTTCCTATAACTAAGAATACAGGAACAGGCAAACTGGAAAGCAAAGAGCCTAGCTCTTCACGATTTACAATTTCCGATTGTGAAATTCGTTAGCTGCAATGTCTGCCATTTACAATAATGTCTTATGTCAGTCAATTTGTGATTTTTCAAACTCTTTAGTGACGCTATATTCAAACTCTAAATAAATGCATGCATCTTTGACTGATTTCACAAGCTTATGAGATGTCTTGGTGCTTGTACTGTGACAGCACATAACGTGTGTGCATATGTACAATAAGCCACATATCATAATATAGTAAAAGCTCATTAATTCCTGCTGCAAAGGAGACTATAACACTGTTCAAATAATTGCAGTCTGAATTAAGCGAGTAGATGCTAGATGGAAAAGACACTGCTTCTCAATGCCCGCCAAAGTAGCCACCTCTCATCTTGTTGTGAGATTTAGGCACTACTACACATTAGCGGCAGGTGATTTTCAAAATTGAGTTTATCGAGTTATAACAGTGAACAGGATTAATTGATGAGGCAGTGGCATACCATAAACAGGCACTGACATGCATTCATGTTAAGCAGTAAGCCTTCTTACGAACCTTGATTTTGGTAGTCCGTGTAAGTAGTCCCATATTGCCCTTAGCCATTGTGATTCCAACAGGCAGGATAGCATTGACTCCTTCTTTTCCAGTTGAAGTCTTTATAAAATCAGCTCCTAAAGAAGAAATATGCACATTAGTCTAAGCTATCACTTCGTATCCATCAGTAGACGCTGCCAATGCCAACCCAATGCTCAATATTTTCTCGTCTTCAAAGCGAGCCCCACCGCGGTGGTCTAGTGGCTAAGGTACTCGGCTGCTGACCCACATGGGGCGGGTTCGAATCCCGGCTGCGGCGGCTGCATTTCCGATGGAGGCGGAAATGTTGTAGGCCCGTGTGCTCAGATTTGGGTGCACGTTAAAGAACCCCAGGTGGTCTAAATTTCCGGAGCCCTCCACTACGGCGTCTCTCATAATCATATAGTGGTTTTGGGGCGTTAAACCCCACATATCAATCAATCTTCAAAGCGATGTTCACCTAAGCCATCCAGAACAAATTGTTTCTGTGGTAATAAGCCTGGCCTTTTCATGATTCAACATGTGCCTTGTGCCCCTTACTCATGACAGTCTTGTATCATGCTGCCACAGAACATAAACTTACTCACGTTAATACAACTACACGTCAGCACAGCATCTGTAAGTGTTGTTTAGTACCTTCAACACAAAAGAGAAACACAATGAAACATCATGCAGGTGCCATTAACTAATTAGATAATGAATCTAAGGAAAGGCTTGAAGGACGTGATCTGCCATTTCTAATTGATCAAAAGGAAAGAGAATATAAAGAGAATAAAAATTTGCTGTAAATTATTTGAGATTTGCACAAGCTAAACCTGCACATTATATGTGGAGCGACGGACCAGTTTGTTAGAATGTGCAACAGTTCGTTGGTGCTTCTCAAACAATGTATGCCTCTAGGTGACAAATAATGGTTCATTTGCAACTACACGCTTTTTAAAGTGAAATTACACAGTGAGTGTCTATATCACCTTATTTAGTATTTGACGTAGAAGGTAGACCTCGCCTAATGGTGTCCATTTTATCCTGTCCTAAATGAGCTGGTTCCTCCTGCATCTCCGAATTTCCCTACTTGCATCACCCCACGTGACCTTCAGCCATTCTCAGCTGTTGCCCACCCCATCACTTTGAATGAAACATGCAATGCCGTCATCGCATGCTCTCATTGTGGGATGCTCCCAACATAGTGCTATACACAAACACTCAACAATGTACACTTCACAAAAGTCATCGCCATATGTCTGCTAGCAGTATCGCATGTGCATTATAGTGTTGATCCTGTTCACAATTGATTTCTTTTTCTTCTCCTTTATTTTGTCCTTTCCTTATCTTTCTTCCACTTATAAAACAACAAATTAACCTTCCTCCATTTTCCTTAGCTTAGTTATTTATCAGCTTGATCAAGTTGCAACAACAACAAAAAAATAAGTGCATCAATTTTGATCGTTTCATTCCGGTGTATGTGTCGGTGCACTCTTCAAGCAAATCTTTTACAAGCTGTTCTCTTCTGTACCTTTGCCTTTTCTCTCTGTTTTCCTACTATTGCTCTAAAGGCTTAATGTAACAATAGATTTGAAGTGGCCGATAAAGTAAAGGAGCTATATATTCTGAAAAAATTAACTCTTTTTTTACTGGCCGCTACCACTGACTTCCTGGGAATAAGATCACAATATTTCTTAAATCCTCATGCATACTAGCACATACAAGAAGAAAAACTCAATAAGTTTAGTCATCCACAATATTAATTTGTCTAGTTGTGCACCCTGATCTAATAAGAGGTTTTGGCTGTACTGCACTCTGTTAAGAACCTCAACCAACTAGCTCACCAGGATACCACACACAATTCATTAAACAAGCATGTTGAACATACCAGCCATCATGCAGACCATGCTGGCAGTGTAAACATTTCGAAGTGATCCCAGCTCTCCTGTGGCTAGGATTGTTTTTAGGTGGGCCTCTCCACATGCTTTCTTCATGGCACAAACTTCATTGTAAACAGCTACGAAAAGGAAATAGTAAGATCATAAAATAAAAATTAGAGCTTCGAAATTCCCTTTCTAAAACCAAAGCTGTAGCCAGCAATAAACACAGCTTTTGTGTATGGTAAGATGCTTAAGAAATGCACACAAATATATCATTTGACAAGAAACAAAAACCTTGAAACAAGCTTTGAACATACTAGAAAACAAACAACATGTAACATAGGCCGTCAAAATAATAGCTTCCCATAGTACAAGGGATATGTTAAATGTTCTTACATGTTGTAGTAGTACAAGAATATTATTTTCAATCTTTTGGAGAGATGGTCTGGGAACATGCAGCACTGCTTCAGGTTCAACATCCACAGCCTGAACCACCATTTCTACTAGTACAGCCTAACCTAAAAAATATTTAATATTATGCTAATTGGTTTTTCATTACTAGCTGAGATATATTAGCATATATGTCTTCCTCTTTCCACTGGTTGTTGTGGTTTTTGCACTAATACTTTTTGGTAAGTCAGCCAAACCAAGAAACATTAAAACTGCATGACCAGTAGATCAATTCAATTTCTTTGTGATAAGATTTGTGCTGAGGGTGAGCTCAGCCAGTGACAGACAATTCAGACTGATCATTCAGTCTAACTTCACATGGATACCATACTTTTGCACAAGCAGAGATAAATCACATTATGAGGAAAAGAAGTTAGTGAGTTAGTGACAAAAGTATTATTGCAGAAACGCTCTGAACTGGAAGTCAAAGTTTTGCTGTCATAACTAATTTCTCCTGCTGAACATTTTCAAATGCAGCTGCATTTCACAACACACTAGAAAAGGTAAGCTACGAACATATGCTTCGTGTCCTAAATAAACAAGTCAAATATAGCCACGCCGCGGTGGTCTAGTCACTAAGGTACTCGGCTGCTGACCCGCAGGCCGCGGGATCGAATCCCGACTGCGGCGGCTGCATTTTCGATGGAGGCGGGAATGTTGTAGGCCCATGTGCTCTGATTTGGGTGCACGTTAAAGAGCCTCAGGTGGTCGAAATTTCAGGAGGCCTCCACTACGGCGTCATAATATTATGGTGGTTTTGAAACGTTTAGCCTCACATATCAATCAACATGTCAAATATAGTAAGAAGAATTTAAACAATCATCATATTGGTTAAAAACTGTCAGTGTTACAGCACCACATTTACATGTTTGAAGGGAACCACAGTATTTTCAGTGCTTTTTTAACTAGCAGCATGATGAAATAACTAGTTCGATTTTGGTGTGCTGTTGAAAAAATTGTGCTTGACACTAACCTCAACTAACTGAAGTTACAAAACAAAACAGTGTAGCTTAATGTTCCAAAGGACATGCTATAATTGAAGGGGAAGCACTGGACTAAACTGGTGCTGCTGAAAAGAAACCATTCTCTTTTTCAGCAGTAATATTGAACTATAACAAGTAAACATGTAAGCACCACATTTGACATTCTGATGTGCAGTTATGCAGGTTAATGCATGGATGCAGTTGATACAGTCACCTTAGGTGAAAAGCAAGTAAATATATTTTGACAATAACAGGCCACCTCACAATTGCAAGATCTGCAGGCATGTCACTGATATACCATTCAAATGAGGCATCCAAGAAAGTATCAAGCATGACAGAAATACTCAAAAGGCTTAAGTATTACCAGATTGTTGGGCATTTTTCAGGCATCAAAGGATTTTATTAGTTTAAGGGTAATGCTCAGGTCAATACAGGAAGCCATGATGTAATATTAAGTGCTATCTGTAGATTATCAACAAAATAGGGCAACATGACACGGTAGGCTACAAAAGCTAATTTGATGCAATACTGTTCATTTTTGAATTTATGATGAGTGCAATGCGACTCTCCGATTTCACGTATGTTTATTGAAAATTCTCAAATGAATTCCGCTACTTAGCAATCTGCCTTTAGCCGTATCATCCCTCGACATGTAACATGTTGAGATGTAACAAGTTGAAAATAAACATTATTATTATTACTAAAATCAGCTTTTGCATATTGCTTTATTTAGTACCCCTAAAAGAGCAACACTTATCACTCGCATACACATTCAACAAGTTCTGCCCTGTAAATTTGGACAGAGAAATTACAATGCAAAATGAACTACGCATAAATGACTTTCACTTACTTTCCCAGTCTCCTGTCAATGCTGCAGTACGGTTAATGACAATGTCAATTTCACTGGCACCAGACTCCACCGCATATTCTATTTCCTGTAGTCTAGTCAGCAGTGAATACTGGCCGGAAGGAAATCCAGTTGCCACAGCAGCTATCGGAATGTTTTTGGGAGGCCGAATAGCCTGGAATGCTTTCACACAGTCGGATACTCTTGCCGGGTAGACACATGCAGCTCCAGTTGTGACGTCTGTAACCGCAATCATATATGCAAGCATTAGGTCAACAAGTTACCCGAAGTTCATGGAAGTTTTAGAATCCTAAAAGTGTATAAAGTGCATTGCATTTCATAGGAAAATTTGTTAAGAACTTCTAGCATCTTCAGTTTAATGTTTATGGTATTCTACAAATTGGTAATCAAGGCTGAACAGTATTCAACATCTTTATCACCATTGGTTTCCTTCCACAAGCAGTAGAAAGATGCCAATAGCAATCAAGGAGAAATCACAGTAACGTTCGCGAGTGTGTTAGGTTAAACGAATATATGGCATCTTGAGCATGAAACTTCTTGCATTTGTTAACAGTTTCCCAAGTGATAATGCTTGCAAGCTTAAATATGTGAATGAAAGCACCGAGGCAGGTTACCCAAATGGTGCATCTAAGACTCCTGAAAGCACTAATAATAGATATATTGAATAGACATAGAACTGAACTTTAAATTATCTAGCTCTCCCCGAAGGATGTATGCAGCTAGTTTTCAATGCTCCATCTCAATTACAAGCGAATTCTGTGCTCTGCTATGCACTTCAACATACAGGCTGGCCTGAGTCATACACATGAACAACTTCTTGCACTTCTACGAAGTTCAGTCATGATACCATAGAAACAAGACAGGCATTCACAAGAAAAAGACATCAAATCATAATGACAGCCTTTGTGGAAGGATGACTTGAGCAACAGTAAAATGTTTTCGATAAGTATGCATTGGTTCAAACCATAGCTGCAGTCTAGATGGTTCTTGCTTAACCACTCCTGATAAGAGGCTTGTGTTTATTATTTAGCCATGTATTTATGTATATTTCAGTCCAGAATAAAAGAGAATAGAAGTTAATATGTACTCTAAGGGCAAGAGCCCATGTATGACACGACAGCCTACGGAATATGTGTACATAAATCCAATATTTTTATCGCCTGAAAATTCAGAACTGCTCATACTGCATAAGTATTGTATGAATGATTCCAGTGCTCCCTTGAAGAGCATGTTCACCACAATGCAACTATAGTTCAAGGCGTGCAAAATATTCAACGAGTTGGCTCGTGTGCATCCTCTATACACAGACAAAAGGACAGGCAGAGTTACATAGTTGTACCTTCCTTAGGCACATCAAGAACTTTGAGGATGTCCTCCCTGAGAGGATGAGAGGCCTTGGAGCAGAGTCGATACACGTTGCTGTAGGTATCGTCTCCCGACAGTGTGGTCAAATCGATGCACGTGATGGCACGTAACAGCCAACCCGCCTGAAATGCGACACCAGCTGAGCTCATTTGAACAGGCAGTCACAGCCGAAAAGCGTTGTCGATCATTCATACCTGAAATTCCTTCTTCACACATCGATGTGTGCCAAGCAGTGAAGCCCGCCGCAACGTTGCCGGCAGGTTGACCTCCACTCCGGCGATTAAATCGGGGTCTGAAAGGATGGCAGTACTACTTTTTTAGTTGAAAAAAAAAAAAAAACGCTAGCTTCTATGCAAACTTTCGCTTACCGAACTTGCAGCCGTCATTGCGAGGTCCCATTTTCGCGCCAAGAAAGTTGCAAACTTAGTGTTTGGTATGGTTGAAAGTGTAATCGCCAGCACCCGTTTTAAAGCCCGTTTTTACGCCAGCGGCGTGACAAACCGCGGCACACACGCAAAGGCAACGGCGATAAGATATCAAACAGCCCAGCGCGGTGATGTCGTAAACTTTTTGCTGGTTGTAGCCTGGGCAAGTGGCGCCATCTCGCGTTTTCTACACGAGCTAAAACGTGAAACTCGGATACTCGATAACGGATGACACTACCAACTTCGAAGATTTCACGGATCTCCTTATGATGTTCACGAAACCTCCGTGCTAATAATAATCTAGTGAGCTGTAGCACAGTCTAGCTGTAGTGCTGTGGACACTGCGTTCATGCAGCCATGGTACGGCTGCGCCGTCAGTCTTATGTTGCATTGCGTGAGCTGCAGCGCCGGTTCAAATGGTTGGCGCCAAAGCTATAATCAGAAACTGCCTCGTTGGTAAAATCAGCTCTAAGCTTTATGACTTGGAGTGATTTCCTTTAGTGCTTTAGAATTAAATTTAAGATGAGAACAATGCCTCAAACTTTCAGAGACCCCGTTGCTGGTGCTAACTAATGATCCACAGTTGTTACCAGTGATTTTGTTGACAAAACCAAGGCAGTGTGAATCGCTTGCACGTCTACTGTTGACGGTGGCTGCTGCGTAGTTATGTGGTCTGCCTTCATAATATGCGGGAGAATATATCGATTATTTTTACATTAACGTATACATACTGATCTTGTTCTTTGCGCCAAAACAGATGCACCGATGTCAGGCATACGTGCGCGCACAGGGGGGAAGAGGGTGGGAAACACTGTCATGGCCGCCTTCCCTAGTCGCTGTGGCTAGAATCCTTAGTCACCTAAAAGCGGGAAAGGGCAAAGGTCTGACACAGCAAAAGCGCAAAAATGTGACGCAAGACAACAGAAGGTGCGAAGATGAGCGGTAGTCGTAGCGCTTCTTTGCACCTTCTTTTGTCCTACGTCATATTTTTGCACTACGTAAATAGTTTTGCCCAACGTGGTCAGTTTTGCCCAGCTTCATACTCTTGTCAACTATCTTACAAGTGTATAAAGGAAGGAAACTTTTTATAGCTTGTTTCTTACTGTTTGGCACAAACCTTAATGAAAGCCAGCCGGTAATGAGTCCAAGAAATGCACAGGGGACGTCGACTGTACTTTTAAGTGTGCGCTGTAGTAACTGTCACACAGATGTGAAGAAAGTTAATTCGGCGAGAAATAAGATCGGATATTAGTCAATAGCCCAAAAGTTGTGTGCTGATATCAGCAAGGGGCAATACCGAGGCGGGAACTTTTTGCCCAGTACGTTACACATCTGGAACTGTCAAGTAGTTTTGAAAATCAGGCAAAAAACAAACAAACAAACAATCTTAAAGTAGAAGTTGCCGTGCCATGTAAATGTGCTGCGAAATAGATGTGAACTTGTAAGCTGACTTATTATTATACAATGAATGTTATTTTGAATATGCAAAAACATAGAAATAAGACACATTTTCCCTTCTTGTCTGTCTTTAAAGCAACAAGTGACTTTCAAAAAAGATTTATTTATTTATTTATTTATTTGTGTCTTTATTTATTTATTTATGTCTTTATTTATGCACATTGTATAGCGCCGCAGAAAAGATCGAAAAGAGTGGCTCTTCATTCTTTCTTAATAGTTCATTTGCAGGTAAAAAAAAAAGGCCTCTCAATGAGCCAAAAAGAAAGTTCAATCTAGCCAAGAAGTAGCCATGGCACCAACCTCAAACTTTGTATCCAGAAAAGGTTTTAAAGCAGCCAATCTCGCTTTAAGTAGCCACTCCTGGACTTTATGATTGATTGATTGATTGATTGATTGATATGTGGGGTTTAACGTCTCAAAACCACCATATGATTTTGAGAGACGCCGTAGTGGAGGGCTCCGGAAATTTCGACCACCTTGGGTTCTTTAACGTGCACCCAAATCTGAGCACACGGGCCTACAACATTTCCGCCTCGATCGGAAATTCAGCCGCCGCAGCCGGGATTCGAGCCCGCGACCTGCGCGTCAGCAGCCGAGTACCTTAGCCACTAGACCACCGCGGCGGGGCCCCTGGACTTGATGAGGTGGTGGGTGCAGCCCGCGAGCATCCACCACCTCGTCTGTTTGGAATCAAATTATTGGGAAAGTCAAGTGTATTCCGATATTGCGCGGGTAAGTCAGTTCGATGCGCGTAATGACACGGCAAGTGATTTCTATATTTCAATGCTTTTTGCGAGAAAAAAAGAAAGAGAGAGAAAAGGCATCTGTGGCATCGCGAAGCACACTGGTTTAGGTCAGGGGTTTTGTAATCGAAGAAAATTAAGTAAAGAGTGTTTTCATTTAAGCGTGAAGCTCTGTCTACGAAGTAGCTCTTCAAAGTATTTGTAGAAGTTAAAAAAAAAACATGACCTAAATGTTCATTCGTAATAATTAGGTGCTTTGAATCTGCCCCAACTTGCTTCGGATCCAATCTTGAAAAAAAAAAACGAGCTTTCTCTTTTATTAGGGCTACATTTATACGAACGCTTGATCGAGCCATATTGGCACCATCAATGCCTTTAGCGAAGTCACTATACACCTTTTCACAGGAAGGAAAAAAAAAAACACCGCCATGATGGGCTGTGCGCGGGAGTACAAAGGCTAAGGGCGCAGCGTTGTCAGTGCATTTTCGAGGGGATGCGCCAATTTGCACACCCCAAGGAGGGCTATGGCGGCGCCCAGGGAGGCATTCATGAAAAGTTGATTAGTGCTTTCGCTCTGAACGCCGGCGTGTGCCCAGCACGTTCGCTAAAAAGGTCCAGGGGCGCGTAGCGTGGGTTTGGCTGCAAGAACTACAAGTCAATGTGGAGGTGCAACCGCCAGAGATGTGCTACGTTGTCCGTTGTCTCTTCAAACGAACGCTAGAAACAGATATCAAGTCGACGTAGATGGATGAAATAGCGTTCCACATAGACACTATCGTGAAAGGGCAACTAAACACAACACACGGGAAGGAACAGACGATGATTGTGTTGTGTTTAGTTGCACCCTCACGATGGTTTCTATGTCAAAGAACCAACCGACCCTACAGTCAACTCTTATAGAGCCTTCCACAAACCTCGTATATCCTGCTTCGTGCCAAGGAAGTGCTTAGGCTTAGTTTGAAAGAAAATCATGTTTTAATGGTCTACATACCATTAGCGCAATTCAAAGCACCCGCCTCCGAGAACGGTTTTCTGACGTAGCCACGTTCACCCTTCACGCACTTTACTTCTCAACAGACCCAGGGGCCTTCGGCAGAGCCCAACTCGGTGAAGACGGAACTTTTGTCGTCTTCAAAAGTAACATCAATAAGTTTTATTTCGCATGTAATGATACTGATATGTACTATTCGCGTTTAATTGCGCCTTGTGATGCGCCGATACGTCTTTTTATGTCATGGAGAGATTGGGTACTTGTAATTGATTGTATCGAGTTCTCACTATGTCATCGTCCTGTGTTACAGATTGTTCCGCTGGGGGCGCTGATCGCGTTTGACATTTACCGTAATTTTTCTATTACATAAGCGATTCTGCGTATAATATTGACGTTTTAGACGCTCCCAAGCATTGACCTTTCACTCTAACAAATCGTTTACTTTCAGTGTTCTTTTAAGCTACGCTCGTTCTCCGGCTTCTCAGTCGAGCTAGTCTTGCGCGAGGTGTCTTGATGCTGAAGCCAGGACCTGCGTTTTGCCTTTCAAAGCTGGCTTGAGCATTTTTTCACTGAAAAGGAGGCTAAAAACTCATTCGGAAAAGTAGCAAAAAAATATCTTTATTAGGTATACGTCAAAAAATACTTGGCGAGTTGGCTGGTTGCTCATGTTACGCGTTAATGGCTACAAAGGTACACAAAGGAGGACGCTGCATGTTGCCAGCATTGTATATAGGCCAGCTTACACCTGGCGAACATGCCACATTGCACTTCAACAAAACAATACATGGTTGCAGCTTGCATTCGTGGAATCCGCCGCGACGGGGCGTTGTGAACACTTATTAGCAACTTGTGCGGCATGCAGGGCAATAAAAGACACGAGTCGAACGTTAGCAAAGCAAATAAAAAAACGACACTTCCTCACATTTAAAGCGCTACAGCATTAAATTAAGTACAAAGCATTTCTAAGAAGGCACAATACAATTACACATAGATTCAACACTTAGCGTTTTGTTTCGCAGGTGGGTGGCGCTTGGCGTGACTATCTCGGGGCAGACGGTCATAGCTAAAAGGAAGCAATTCTTGCTTTTGCAGTGAGAGATAGCTTGAGCCGTATGCAGGTGTCACCACCGTACATGCATACTCAAGGTTCGCAAGCACTATCATGTTACAAGGACAAATATATAGATAGGAGTCGGGAAGCACGTCGCACGTACAGCTGGGCATAAATAGATGGGAACATTTGGCACCGTATGATGGCGCGTTTAATAAATATGGACGCTTTTTTTTTAAATGCTACGTCGCTTGATGATGAATGGTGGGTATTTGACACGGAACGAAAAACAAAGCTGCAGTATTGAACAAGACCACCGCTTTGTGGCTTGCTGGGATAGTTACTCTGATCGTGTCTTCAAATCCATGTCACTGTGCTTTGTCATGGAGAATTATAAAAGAATTCCAAAGAAGATAATGTTGTTTGTTTCAGTGCATATGTATGCATATGTCATGGCGGACATGTGACTTTCTATTTTAGTTTCAAGTTTTGTTTTTTTTTGCGTTTTGAGACGCCACGTAGGTTTATGGAGAACGATTAGCGTGTATTCTAGCTAAGATTTCTTCTCAGAGAAAACTTTTTTTTTAATTCTTTCAGCGTCTTCGTTCAGCCCTTTCATGGAGGCTAATAATAAACATAGAAAGAAAGTGGTACAGGAAAATGGGACAACATTTCGTAGAGAAGAGACATGTCAGTGCACAATTAACTACGGAGAGGAGACGACGTGGAGTTATGTTGGTGCAATAAATACAACCGTTCCTATACAGATGGTATCGATGACGTCGGCTTGGTAAATGAGTTAGAGCTCAGCCGGCTTCTCGAGACGATCACCGGGCCAGATCATCCGTCCAGTTGGTGTCGCGAAGACATAATAGTTAAGAGAGTAGAGGGGGTGGTATCTGCAACAAACAAGCAAACATCAGCTGTTGTTACTTTGAAATCCACATAATATAAACCTCCACAATCACTTGTTTTATCTCTTAGCCCAGCTGGCTGATAGCGGGGCTACGTAAAGATGTATTAGGTTTTGTTTTTTAGTTGAGTGAAATCAAAGCCTTGAATAGGCTAAAAATGCACTGATACGCATCAGCACGCCCTGAAAAATAATTACGGCTTGCTTTCAAATGCCAGTCATGGTTACCAATATACCCTGATGTCACGAAATCTCGTGGGCTTCTCGTCATGTGCTTGTTCGAGATATCGTGACATTTGCATGGCTGCTAAGCTTCATGGCTACGCTAGTGGCGCACAAGTGGTCATTTGAATGTCTTGGGGGAAGGGCACTTGGGAATTCGTGGCACCTGACGTCATCACAACTATAGCCTAGTGGTGCGTGGAGTTACTAGAATTGACACTGTAGCCTGACGTCAAGCTAATGTCGATGCAAGTAGGTGCGTCACGCGAAAGTTGGTTTTATTATCCAAATAAAATGTCTTATCAGCATTTTCTGAGCCTAAATCTTGCGCAGATCTATGTTTGTAGCAGTAGATTCGTATGATGGAGTAAAGTCAGCTTTGAAAGTGTATCGGTCCCCTTAATATAAACAATATCAGGGGTTTTACACCCCAAAATGACGATATGATTCTGGGAGGAAACGTAGTGGAGGACTCTATAAATTCCGAGCATGCAGGGTTCTTTAACGTGCATTCAAATCGGATCCCAAATGGGCCTGCAACATTTTCACCTCCACCGAAAATGCAACCGCCGCAGCCGGGACAACCGCCAGTAATGGTATGATGCATGGCACAACTATATAAAACAATAATGCAGTAGTAACTAGCAATTTGAATTAAAAAATTATGTTGCACCTTGAGGTCAGCGAGTAGCCTGAGCACAATGTTTGCATAAGTACTCGTTGCCTGTAGAAGCTTTGCGAATAAGTGTTCACCATTGAATGTGTAATGTTATTGCTGCTGCAGATTACATATTTACGCATCTTAGAAAAACGCAGACAAGAAAAACTTACTGCGGTGCTGACAAGGCACTTCAAGAAAGGTTTTGATAAGTATTTGTCGAATGGTTTGCTGGGCACAAAGTTGTTAGAAAAGGCCCCAAGCTAAAGTGAAATTTTATCGCTTGTCCTGTGTCCCGTAAACAGCTGGCGCTTTTGTAACCCGATCTGTACCAAACCAGCCAGGCTTAAGAATAATGCTCCGAAATATAATTCTTCAACACATGTCTGTGAGTACGGCACTATACTAACTGTTCCAATTTTAATGAAATCTAAGCAAATACGTATTAATAAGGTGAATACAGCAATACCGCGCTTTAATCCACGTCGTGAGGGTGGCCAACTAGCAGACGCATGGTGGCCAGCTAACGAACTCGGCCTGAATCGACGTACCAGAGGGGCGCAACCTTGAAATAATGAGTAGCGCAGTTCAGGACGGTATGACGGCAAGGAAATATAGTTCAATGTGCCGAAAGGCTCATTTTCAAAAGTCCTAACTATACAAAGGCTTCTCAAAGGGCTATCACAACACAAATGATATTAGTTGCTCTGCACGCCTATAACATCAAAGGCAGTTGCCAGACTAATCCAACTTTGAAACTGACGACAACCAGCGTTCACGGAAGGTGATACATGCTCTGTGGAAGCGAAGACCTTACACACGGTTGCACGCGGATAAGAAGCACGCCAACTGACCCGTGTAAGGATGACAGAAAAATGGGGTGACTCGAAGAGCTTGGCTCGGCTTCGTGCTAGACGACACACGGTAGTTGCGTGTAGCGTAAGGAGAAGCCATACTGGCCGTTCGCGGCGTTGTCACTCGAGGCGTGGTTGCTCTTCACCTTCAACGTGAATGGCTTGTTGTTGGCTGAAAGGAAAAAAATATGGCAAATATTGAATACATTCCTGCGCTGTCATGATTATGACGCACGGGATTTCGAATGCGATTCACAAGGTTCAAGGTCTAGAGTTGTACTGGGACATAAAGAAAAATCTATGATGAATCTACCTCGATCCTAAACCTCCATAATGTAAACGAGTGTATTTACGTCCCCCCCCCCCTCCCCTTGCTGCATTGGGAATAGGGTCAAACTGGCAACATTGGTCAAGTCTGATGAATTGACTGCTTCTTGGAACTGCTATTTCGATATAATTCATTATTTGTTACCGACTATTTGTCACATACGTTCCAACATTAAGTGTGCTGCAACTGACGCAATCATTTCTGCATTCAGGCTTAGTTGTATTCACTTTAACCTTACTTACGTTTAAAGCACTGGTTTGAAAGTGAAACAGCGTACGAGGAATCATGATGCCTTATGCGGAAAGGCGCGTGGTGAAAAGAAAGGCACATGAACTGCCCATCCGTTTTCAGCTAGCACCGTGCCATTTGCGGCGTTTAACATCATGAATTCTTGTCAACTTGCTGAACTTACAACTTTAACGTTACAGACATGTTGAGCTTCACTTGGGGCAATTGACGTCACATGCTTATGACCACAACTTCGACCGATGTCCTTGGCGGATGCGTCATAGTGAACGCTTTCGTTAATTTTTGTTTTGCAGTAACAAGTAGACGTATCAAAACAAATCGTGCAAACTTTATAAGCATCCACAACAGATTCTCGCTGAGGGAACAGCGCTGGAGCCTTAAGCGAACCTTACGCATATTTTGTACACCTGTAGCTATTGCACTGCAAGTCTGGCTTTTTTTTTCCTTAACAACGCGGGCATGCAAAATGTGCAGGTGGTTTAAGCGTCTTTGTTGTTTTACCTATGCTGACACACTAAAATGGGATAAGCGTGGAACTAAAACTTCGTTACTTCGAACTTACATGCCTTATATTACATATACAAGGAGAGCTAAAGAACATAACTTTGGTCATGTGTGTTGTTGCTTTGCTTACAGCCGATCTATAGAGTAAACGCGGAATAATATGGGTACCTTAATATCATTGTTGGTGAAGATCACTCATAAGTATATTGCCACAGAGATATGGTGTTCCTACACAACGATCGAAGCTCTTGAATTTTATTTTTTTTATTTTCTAGTATGCCTTTATATACGTACGTCACAATCAAGCAGCACAGCCATTGCAAACTCACATATGATGACGTTCTCCTCGCCAAGGCTAGTACCGCAGAAGCGGTCCTGTCCCGGACCCAGGCCCAGCGTCGAGCCCTGGTCGATGCCCACGAAGTCGTCCATGTTGCAGACAGTGCCGTTGGCGCCCCTGTCGATGGGCTTGCCCCAAGAGAAGGACGAGTTGGACTCAGTCTCCCACTTGATGGAGCAGTAGTTCTCTTCCATGCGGATGCATATGGAGTAGCGGAGGTTGCTCAAGTAGCGCACCCTGTGCTCCACCATGGGACCATAGTTGAAGCTCCTTACTATAGCGCTGGGACTTCGGTAGTACAGCAGGCACCCGGCAGGAGCTGTGTGCGTTGACGCAAACCAATGATGCAGTGGTTGAGAATGGCAGTGTTGTTAATTGGGAGGGAACATACCACGGGATGACGGTGAGACATCATCTCAGATTTGTGGAGTGTCTTTGAAAAGCATGTACAAATATTCACAGCATCCTATATGCTTCCGCGTAAAACTACTCGAAGCCGAATATTATCTTCCTGATATTTTTCTTCTGAGTATTGGATATATTTTTTCCGCTGGTGCATTTATATTGGTGTATTCGTTCCCTTTACTCTCCTCCATCATTAGGAAGCAAGGAATTTGATTTCCCGTATTCTTTCGAATAATATTCCGTCCCGCAAGAGATTTAGGATCTCGTGGGGCTCTTCTGAAAAGCCCTCACATGAAGGCAATCTTTGGCGTTTCCTTCGCAGGTTCTCAGATATGAATGAAGCGTAACCTGATACGTCTTCACTGGAACCTTGGTAATGCGTATCAAGTGCGACACCTAGAGTTGCACTGCATCTCGGCTCAAGTTTAAAAGAAATCAGCGTGCTCATTATAGCAGTTAGTGCATAAAAATGAATCCTATATAAAGTGGATTCACTTAATCACCAACCATTATTCTGTAGCACGGGATCAGCAGTGTGGCTGCAAAGAAGGTGCTATGAAGGTGCTCTTAGATGAGACTCTCGTGGGACAAAGCAGCTAAATTCAAACTTTTTGTGAAAATATGTGACCATATACAAATTGCGTTGAATACGTGCACGTTTATGTTATTAGGCGTTCAGCCGTACTTACCGATGTCGAGGCTGTTGCACTGCACCATGCTGATCTTGATGCGCCACCTTCTTGTCATCTTGTCCCCATTACTGACCACGCTTAGCACGACAGGATTGCCTGAACTTCTGCCCATGTCCACGTACACTGCAGGGAATGGTGAAATGGTATGTTAATCAAGCACGTTTACACAAAAAACTGAGACAGCGATGCATCAGTACACCTGCAATGAGTAAAAACACTCTTTTCTCAGTATGCCCCACCACGGTGGTATTGGGGCAAAGGTACTCGGCTGCTCACTCGCAGGTCGTGGGATCAAATCCCGGCTGCAGCGGCTACATTTCCGATGGAGGCGGGAATGTTGTAGGCCCGTGTGCTCAGATTTGGGTGCACGTTAAAGAACCCCAGGTGGTCAAAATTTTTGGAGCCCTCCAATACGGCGTCTCTCATAATTATATGATGGTTTTGGGACGTTAAATCCCACATATCAATCTTTTCTCAGTATGGCCGGGGGCACTTTCGCACATGAGATACAATATCCATCCAACAAAGACACAATGTTCATAACATTTTGCCCCTGTGTTTGTACCACATAGGATATTCAACGACATGTGTGACCAAGCCAGGTTGATGTCAGTAGAGAGAACAAAATGGAGTGACCTCTCTACTCTCAAAACGTTCTCTTGCTCTGATTGATTGATTTGTGGGGTTTAACGTTCCAAACCACCATATGATTATGAGAGACGCCGTAGTGGAGGGTTCCGGAAATTTTGACCACCTGGGGTTCTTTAACGTGCACCCAAATCTGAGCACACGGACCTACGACATTTCCGCCTCCATCGGAAATGCAGCCGCCGAAGCCGGAATTTCCACCCGCGACCTGCGGGTCAGCAGCCGAGTACCTTAGCCACCAGACCACCGCGGCGGGGCAATGTTTTCTTGCTCTCAAGTTGCCTTTTACCTCCCCCAAGAAATAACATGGTCAAAACAAGACAAATACGTTTCCCGCTTTCCTGAGCCCCCAAAGGAACTTGCAAGCACAGAATGCAATAGAAACACATTTTAATGTTATATGAAGTAAGGCTAACAGCTAGCTCTTTTGGGTCTGATTTCACGTAACTCAACAACGTGCTGGTTTCAAGAAATACGGCAGCTCCAAAGACCGAAGCGGTTGAGAGCGCAGCAAGTTCTCATGCCATCCCCTGATGCCTGTCAAAACAGTGCACTCTTCAAGTGACGCTGCCCACTCCCTTCCCTCGGAGTCTCTTCACGCTCCTCAGAAAAGACAGGCGGTTACTTTGCTCTCTGCCTCACGAGGAATCAAAGGCACGTTTCGCACGCCGAGTTATGATATTAATTACATCTTCTGCGCGATGAAGATGACTGGCTTATTTCATCTGCGCTTCAGCTATATTCGTCGCTAGCATTCGCAAAGTGTTTCTCGAGGGTCGAACATGCAATGAGCAGGGGCAGGTTATCATTTCGAACTTTATACGAAAAATTACAGTGACGGTGAAGTCACCGGCTATGGTAAACACCCGCCGAGACGACCATACAACTCTTATCGTGAAAAAAAAAATGTTGGAGTGAAAATTATGGGCTGTTAGGGATATCTGATCTCCGGCAGCTTACCATGGAGCACGATAAAATGTTTCGCGAAATATTGTTCGACGATTTCAAGTACTATGTGCACTGCACACTACAATGGAAGATTGTGTTCAAAATTCCTTGACTTCCAGGCAGCATCAAGCACATTTTCCAACCAAAGAGGTTTAAAAAAAGATTGTGTTTAGAAAAAAAATTGTTGGCCGATTTAGAGCACTATGTGCTCTACTATGGGAGAGCGCTAAACTCTCCTTAATACTTTTCGTTGCGATTCTCCAACAGTCCCGAAACATATCTAAATATATTTATCAGCGTGCTTTTTTTAAGGTCACCGACTTTTCAAAATAAGCTTTAATATCCCATCTAGTTTGATTTTAGATATAACTATCATTGTTCATGCGAACGGATACCTTCTTTAGGAAACGCAATATTTTATGTTATAAGTAACGAAGCATCCACGTAGTAAGAAGAAAACACAATCTCTAGCTGGACATTGTGCAAAAACACTAGGTTCCTTACTAAAACATGACCACACGCTAGCATCACATCTGCTGCTCAGTTGCAAGATACTGATAGTCGTGATCAATAGTAAACTAGGACATACTAGTCAATGTGCAACATTAACGTAAGCCACATTGGTTACGTATTCAACAAGGTGACAACGCAACATATTGTTTGACCTGCAGATATTTGCATTGACAACTAAACAGTTCCTATTGATATTTGCGCAGTTTTATCTTTTTCTCGTTCGCTGGTCACCCCGGTTAACCACCTTTTCTTTATTAGCTCTTGATGTATGCTAGCCCCGCGGGTCGAATTTCAAGTGGTGCACTAGCTTTCACCATTCTGACGAAGACGACTTTATTTCATGCAGGTTTCAACGTTAAAGGTTATCTTTGTTTTATTTCGGCTAAGGTCGTCTTCAAGGCGCGTTACATGAATTTTCATAGGAACAGAAGCATGTCCTTTCCTTGTTACATTGACACCGAAAAATAATGAGAACTAAGCGACAATGATTCCTGGAAAAGTATAAAAGATGTTATTGCAAATGTTTATAATGTTGAAGTGAATTTTTGTGCGTCTCGCAAATAAAACGATTCCTTAAACTTACACTTTTTTTCTTCGTTGATAGCAGAAGGTAGTATGTTGCACCAGTAGCTAATACTAAGGAATCTGAAAGTGCTGCACTCATTGAGTGTAAAGCAACGTGCCCTTAAAGATTGCGGACACTTGCAAACTGCATGCACAACTGTGCATGAAGGCTCTTTGGATGCTCTCAATGCATCGTTTCTTGTCAAAGTTCTGGCTGAAAATTTTAGCAGAATACTTTCAGGAACTTTCAAGAATGACATGGTTGTGTGCTACACGCAATGACTCTTGCTTCTGCGGTGAAACAAGGACATTACTGCCCTCCACAGAAGCAGACTGGTGGACCCTTAGCATGTGACAACCACCGCCTCAGGTCACTCTATATCATTTAACTGAGAGTGCCAGATTTTCGTTTCTTTGTGAGACAAGCGTTTTCTCGAAAAGAGTTGATCATTTCCACCAAATTTGGTTCTCGGACGAAAAAAGAAAGCTTGAATTTGGCGCTTATTTGTATCTAACGAAGCACTACTATTTCGGCGGGTAATGTAGCGCTAGTGCGGAGTTATTCAATCATATCAGTCATATGATTTTAAAACTATCCATTCTTACGATTTTTAAATTATTAACAAATTATTTTATGTAGCAAGACACCACTCGTTTCATGCTGGATCCCCCGTGGTGTGCTGCGCCAGGATAAAGGGGCAATAAATCAATTAATCAATCATTAAACACGTAAATGAATAAATAAATAAATATATGAATATATGAGTTGCAAAACTTCCCATAGGCTCCATGTATTCCGCACACGCAACGAGCCCTTGATGGCGTGACAGTCTGCTAACTCCCGCAAACTTGGGCCGGCTGCGTGTCTGGGTTCCGGAACGCAGTTTTGGTACCGGTATGATTTAATAACTCTGGCGCTAATAAGTCTTTGCGTAAGTGTTGATGCAGTTCTGAATCCCACCCGAAATCCTGTGCTAATCAATGTTCTTCTGTCTGTCTTGGTGTAGTTCCAAATCATGCGTATAATGCAGTTCAACTATATATACCATGAAACCGGAGAAAGTGCATCACATAGACAACGCACTGATTTCCTTGGCGGTCGCATACTTGCCGAGATGGTGGGGCCATCTTTCGCGCGGCTTGGGCCAAACCCGGATCATTCAAAAGTAGTTGTCCCAATTTAGGTAGATTATTACTAGTATTATTTTAGTTTTATTGTTCGCAATATTTTTAACCGTGTAAGTTTATTGTATACTGGTTTTGACACTTGTTAACCTGGTTTTGGGCCTGTATTGATCGCTGCTTGACCACGTGACCATGGATGGACGATAAGCCCGGCCGGCCCTTTAGGCCTGACCATACGTACGCGTTGCAGCGCGTTACTTTTTGCCACGGCGCAGCACTCTATCCCTCTAACCACACGAACCCATGGCAGCGTGTCAGCACGTGGGATTATGACACGGCGCTACGCCCTCACCCTACGGAGAGTGTGGGCGCGCTGCTTCGCGTAGCCTCACGCCCTCTTTCGCTATAGGGAGAGGGCGCGGCTCCCCCACGCGCCGAGACGCTGCAACGCGCACGTGTGGCCAGGCCTTCATTGGTGTTACGCCCTTGAACTGGAGTTGTGTGCACGGAAGTGCTCGAGGCCACTCACAGTGCAGTCCCGCGTTCTCTCCGCAGAGAATGGGCAGGCGCTCGCCGACCGTGGTTCGAACCATGAAGGAGTCGGTGATGCACTGTCCGTTCTCGTCGGGCTGGGCCAGGCTGAACTCGAGGAAGTCGAGCCTCAGCTGGCACACGTTGTTCTGCTTCTCGATCGTCACCTGGCAGGTGTCCGTGCCGTTCTCGCCGTTCGGGTAGTTTGGGTTCACGAACTCCGTCTCGTTGTCGCTAGTGGACTTGCCGCACGTGAAACTCACTGCGAATGAAGGATTTTCGTGCAGACCTGTAACATATCTGACAACTGCGGGCTCAATAACAGCGGGCGAACTGTAGAAACAATCTATAGTGTTTCGCTTCGCCTATACACTTGATCGCTTTATTCTTTTCAAAGCCCTACTGTGATTCGGCATGAAAAAGCGTTGGGACAGAAACATGGCTTCTCCTTTCTGACAATGGAGATCACTGTGGCAGTACTCTGGAAAGGTAATTGCAGCGGGCGCCTATTAAGTTTAGCAACTAATGAATTAATGATTGTTTATTGGTATTTTCAGAGCTAAAATGATGTTCTACATTAAGAAAAGGGACAAAAACACTTTTTAGTTTGTTTTCTAGTTTCGGTTGTCGCCTACTTAGTTGTGTAGTTAAAAAGGTAATGAATGCTTATTGAACTGTTCAGAATTTATATATAATTCTTGTTCGTTGGGAATGCACCTGTCCCCTATTATTTCCACTTTAAATTCACAACCGAAATCATTAAGCTACACTTAGCCCATGTTCATGTGATACGGTGGCCTTTACATAGTTCTTTATTGTACTGGAGTTATTGGGCACATAGATGTGTGCAAGGAGTGAAGGGTGATAATCTAAAGCGTGGGAGTCGATTCGGCCCGATGTCATTACTGAGTCGGACTTTTCACGTCTGTTTTTTAGGCGTCGGGTTACGGCCATGCATGCTGTTGAACAACAATGGCGACCAAGGAAGAACCCTCGATAACTCGTGAATTGGTCGTATACACCCGTTTAGCCGCGAAAGCCGTGCATCAATGGCACGCCTTCCCAAACAGCCTTTCGGCTTTTCATTTTCACATTTCCACACCTAGCAAAGCTACATTTCCCCGCCATGGTGGTCTAGTGGCTAAGGCACTCGGCTGCTCACCCGCCGGTCACGGGATCGAATCCCGGCTGCATAAGCTGCATTGTCGATAGAGGTGAAAATTTTGTAGGCCCGTGTGATCAGAATTGGGTGTATACGTTAAAGAACCTAGGTTGTCGAAGTTTTGAGAGCCGTACACTACGACATCTCTCGTATTGACAATGTTCATATGGTGGTTTTGGGACGTTAAACCCCACCTAATAATATTGTAAAGCTAGAATGTCTTTACTTCACGAAGGAAGAGCGTTAAGGGGAAGGGCTGCAGTGGAGTTTTATCTCTCTAGTGAATAACCGTGTGACGTCTATTATTGTGAATAGCTAACCATTCAAACAGCCATCACCAACCAACTGCCTTTGATGGGTCGTGTGATGAAAGGTGGGAGAAACGTATACAAAGAATACCTTCTAATTACGGACGTACGTGTCATAAAATGCAATGCAGACGTCATTTCTACTTCACCGAAGAACAGAGTTCTCTAGTCATGAAGAACACAAGTTGGAGGGAATCAATACGCCACTGTCACTGGAAATCATAAAGAAACTTCGATATTTCGAGACCTTCCCTCAAGTACTTTTCTGCGAGTTATAATATAGTGAAGGTTCCTCGGAGCGCTTGCTGGAACACTCGTTGCTCTGGGAGTCTGTTCATGCGATGCGTAGCTTGGCCGCCTTTCTTTTTTTTTTCATCATGAACTTGTACCACCATGTCCGAATAGCAGAAATTCAGTAGTGCTCGACTGTCGCTTACCGTAGCAGCAAACACCGAAACCGTTGGCGCATCTGTTGACTTCCGTTCCTTTCCGGTCAATGCAGTCTTGTTCACTGACACAGGTTCCATTCTGGTTGTTGCGTCCCTCGCACGGCTGGTTCTGGTAACGCAGCAGGTTGATGATGCCAGCTAAAGAGCACATGGAAGAATGCAAAAAGCTCAGACTATACGGTGGATATATTTATTCAAAAATACACAGTGCGAGTTCTAAACAAAAGAGAAAAAGAACGACGCACTAGGCTGTTTTAGTTGGGTGTTCGCAGCAGCTCTTCGGATACGAGCTCCTATAGCCATCTCAATGGCACGCTGCGTTCGCAGAGCGGACGCAGCGTGCCAACTAAAACGTAGCGAATGGAGCTCAAACACCGCAGTAGCCGATTAGCTGCTAAGAGTATACCTGTGTACCATACCAATAAATCGTTTTCTGAGGGGGGGATTCAACCATACCTTCTGTATGCACGTTCGTGCGTGCGCTTGTATTTTTGCGTGTGTGTACTCGCATGCGAAAATGAGCAATCTTAGGAGGAGGGTATTTCAACCTTCTACCTCATCTCACCTTCTAGCTGGCCGGTGAGAAGGAACGGGATGAAGAGTCTTGGTGCTGGAGCTATAGCTCTCAGGTATTTTCATCCCCTCTGCGCTTGAGCCTACGTGACTGGCTTTGCTGCTAACTACCAGTAAATCCCGTGACATTTAATGTCACTTAATAGAGTTCAGCTCAACCAGGCGTCTTAGACAAAGCACCGAAGATTACACAACTTTGCTCTACAAGCTTACAGGCTAAGTTGGCAACCATTGAGCGGACTATGTTTGACGAGTAAAGAACCGTCTAATTCGTGTGATGGAGCCTTCGAGACTGCAACTTTCCGATTTTGTACTCACGAACACAAGAAGACATGGGTCAACGTTACGCACTGCCATTTCTAGACTTCGCAACCATACATATTTCTCTGTATGCGAATCTGCTGAGCATATGGCTATACACTTATATACAGTACAAGTAATCATAAAAGTACTTCTCACTTATGCTTTGAGGTCTTCCTGGTCGACTGGGAGGCAGCTGCCCACCGAAGATTCCTTGGCCAACTGCTGACGCCAGCAGTGTGGCCAGGACTGCGAGAACAATTATGCCGTTTCGAGAATTCATTGCGTGGCACCTGGAACAGACAAAGAGATGGTGGACCTGGTATAAAAACGTTGGAATTGAACATTGTCAAACTTATACGATCATGAAATTACTGTAAGGCAATACTGATAAGCCGGTGCCCCTCCAAAGTATATTTGGGCTGGATCGTTTATCTTTCTAGCGATCTTGGAGCTATCTGCAAGCTTCAGGTTATTTCAGAAGATATAAGCAGAAAAAGAAAAAGAGAGAGGTTTATTATGACAAAAGGGCTGACAGGTCAGCCTGAATGAGTTTTCTGACGTGCTAATACTGTATTGTTTCAGAGGGAAAGTAACAACCCCTAGTTAGCGCTCACATATAGAATGTGCCATCCATAAAAACTCAATGTAGGCAGATGAGCATCCGCTTGAGAATTGTACTGAGCACTTACTGGGGAACACCCAAGCCTCAGTTTGAAACAACTTGAAGCAACCAGGGATGTTTATGTGATGATGATGGTCTGGGTGGCAACCTCTTTCGTGCAACATACGGATTTGCAGAAGTCTTCGTGGAACGATACAAACTGTGAAACCATTAGAGTCGCTTTGACAAACATTGGCGGCCCTGTCTACTCAATGCAAATGAACAGGGTAAGTACCCTGTTAACACCAACGTCTACCTACGCCCATAGCTAATCTTTTGTATCATCACAATTTGAACAGTATTTGTGGAGACATTTACGCAACTTCCGAGGAGTCTATATACCTTAAGAGCATTTTACTTCGACGCGTGCCCTGCACTAAGTGTTCTTAAACCTGGTCATTTTATGTGCGTCAAATGGCAACCCAAGTTAGGGTAATTATGCTGGAAATCAAGTAATGCTTATAGCGTTATGTCGTGAAGGCTACCAACGCATTTACAGTAATCCTCTGTAAAGAATTACGAAGCTTAAATGTTGAAAAATGCCAGATTGTCCTTTGCGACATCTATTTGGTTTTATTTTTAAATTGTACTCGAACATTCTAATATCTAATAACTGATATATTCACAGTTTGCGGAGAAATATAGACCTAAGCATTGAGAACTTAATTATGTATTACTCTGAACACTGGTCGAAGCAAAGCTGCAAAGGACGACCGTTCATAAGGGGGGGGGGGGGGGCTTATAAAGGAATAAAATTTAGCAGCACATGATTCTGATTGTCTAAGTGGTTTTCCTGCGATGAGTGACATTTGAAGCGGGAAACCGATTCATCGGTCGTATGAACTTGCCCACACGTTTTTTTTTTACTTGACAAATGGCTCCTTAATGATGCGCAGTACATTTCCGAACCATCGGCACAGTTATGCAACTGAAAGAGACTTTTAGTCATTAACTGCCCTTTAGGTCGGGTTATCACGCGAGAAGTGGCCAACAAATTGCGAGTGCTAAGATAGTTAGGCATGAGAGGGTAGATCCCCAATTACTGTTTCCTTCACCCGCAGGCACCTCGCATGCGTGGAAGCCTCACACCTCTTGACTGGACTTCCACCCCGAGCTCAAGCTACCGTCTAATGAGATGCAAGCAATTTGCGCCCTTCCTTGTGGTCTCGGACTTGACCTTGTGTCGTAACAACGTTAGGCTGAGAGCAAAAAATAACAAGGCGACGATGGCACGTTCGTCATGACGGAGAATTGTCAGGGGCAACGTACCGGGGGGTCTTGGATGCACTGCACCGTCCGGAGCGTGCAAGGTCGTCGTGTCGTCGCGATATCCTCGGTTGCGTGTGCGGTGAAGATTCTACTACGAGCCTCGTCTGGCGGGGTTGATTCGCCGGCGCGCTGCTGGCGGGGCGACTGAGACCTGGACCAATATTACGGATGCGAGGAGGATCCGGTATACCTGCTGCCGAACCTGCTTCCTCTCCAGGGCCACCAGCAAAGCCGAGCCGAATCTGGCCATCGCGCTACGAAACCGGACTTCCCCGTAATTCGGGTCACCCGCCCGCTATCATCCGCTCGTACCCACCCCGTGGTCCCCTCTCAAGCAGGCCGGTTTCGGTCCTGCTGCCCGGTCGGGCTGGGGGGGGGGGGGGGGGACATCACCGTTAAGCTAACAATGAAGCTCCTTTCCTGTCCCACCCTTTCCCGTTCTTAAGGAGCAGTGTGAGAGCTAGATCGCCCTTAAGTCCCATTGTACAGCAAGGGCTGGTTATATTTCGTGAGAAGAAAAGAGACGATAGGGTGAAGGGAAAGGAGAACCTCGAGCGGTCTTCAACAGACGCATGACCGTTTCTTGTGGCGTAAACGTGGTGCTCACCTAACTCGCTGGTGTGCTCCTACGGCGGTTCTTGCTGCTCAGTCCTGTGGTCCTGCCGTTTTGTTCGCGGTGCACTGCCGTGCACTGGCGTCTGCGGCGGCAGGAACCGGAGGAGCAGCGCACCGCACACACGAACGCACTGCTGGCAGCTCCTGCAGATCCCGGACTGGCGATCTATCAGCCGACGGCAATGCCTTAAAAGATGTGCATGCACATTTTCTGGCTGCCAGGGAACCTCCACCCGGAGGAACCCGGAAGCGAACAGTGCCACCCCTCCTTTCAGTTGTCGGGGGGTGACGGAGCCGCCTGGAGCGAGCAGGCCGTTGGCAGCAGGAACAGACGTATCGCCTCCCCGCCCTCCTCGCCCACTTACATAACATCTTGAACTTGGAAGGAAGAGGCGGCGGCAGGGGTCACACCCCCATGGCGGATAGTGGTCTTGAGGAGGGGATGAGTGGAGAGATCGCGGGGAGAGGGCCCAACCTCTGAGCTTGCTCTTTCTCATACCCTCTCACAAGATGTAACCATGTCCTCTCCGGGTGTTCCGCTTCCTCCCCTCAGCTGCCCCAGACATGACGTCACGGGGACATTGACCTCGTTGCAGGGTAACAGGTAGGTACACACAGACGCACGAGGAGAGAAGGAAACGAGGTCTGGTTCAGCTCACGTCTGAGACGTCCTTTCCTCCTCTGAAGGCCGGTCTCGCCTCGCATCCGCAGTTCGCACAGCGTTTTTCCTTCACACGTGGGGGCTGCGAGGTCGACGGTATTGAACAGCGGAGGAAGGATCCCCTCTTTCTCCTCTCATACCACGCTGGTCGTGGCAGACGAGCACCTTTTGTGTATTGTTGCCACGTCCACTTCGACCTCCACCACCGTCCCTCCGTGCTCTGCCCAAGTCGTCCTCCAGTTTCATGTGTTTGTTTGGTTTGAGTTTAACGGTGCGATGCACTGTCTGCGTTGGCAGAGTTTCGCCCCCCCCCCCCCCGACAACAGGGGTGTGTTTGTGCAGGAAAGAGGGTGCATGGGTAGGCTACTGGAACACGTGAAGACCGATTCCCCGCAGGGACGATGACGAAGAAAGCGCGGAAACGGGCGGTCGCCGGGTGCATGTCAGCGCGAGGTCTTCCATCACAGCCGTGGGAGTTGAATGTTCGATGTAAAGGACTAATATAGAGATGCATAAGAAAGAATTACTTCTCTCTCTCTCATCTTCAACAACTGGGAAGGTGATAATATTCTATGAATAAGGGGAAGGAGAAGGCAAAACAGAAAGAAGGCACCGAATGAGTCATAAAAACTTGCAAAGAGCATAAGTGAAGATCCTGCGGACTGGCCATCTTGTGAAGACGGTACAGCTACCAGCCAGAAGGAAAAAAAAGACACACACATGCTCTTTAAGAGAGGCTACACAGAAAAGCTAAATGATTACAATACATTCGACGAGTGGAGGGGGACAGAGGAGGTGGGTTGTGTTCAGTCCTACTAGCATGCTTTTTCTGCCTTACACAACGCCACAAGACGCCTGGAATCGAGGACGTTTTTTTTCCGGCCGCTTGCGCAACACGTTGGGGAACGGTGCTCCGCGGATGCTGTTTCTTCTTCGCCTTATTCTTCTTTTCCGGACGGAGGAAGGAATAAGAATAAAAAAAAATGCGTGACTCGCAGAAGCATGCAGTGCGTGAGGAGGATAACTGAATCGGCAGCGGTGCTGGATGCATCGCGTGCTGGCTGATTCGATGCTGTTGTGTGATACGTCGATCTCTTTCTTGCTGTTTTTTTTATCTCGTTCTCTAGGTCTGGGTTACGCATTGAGTCGGCATGAATGATTCCTTTTATGTGCCACTTCTCATGAGCGACTCTAATAGGAAGCTACTGGCAGGCTGCAACAACTTCGCTAGGAGGCATTTAGTTAGGCGACCAACACTTCTTGCATGAATAAGCGCTGCGGCTCCATTGCTTTTGTGCTGTGACAAGCACTGTTGAATGAACAGTGATTGACGACACCACAACTCTAAGAACAGCTGCATTCAACCCAAACTTCGGCAACAATATCGCCGATCGCTTTCTACGCAGCTGTTTCTGTAACACATGTGTCCTGGCAAAGCAACTTGACGGAAATAAAAAAAAAATCGCCTCGCCTAACTTCAGAGATTTTCGAACTCAGTGACTGCAGTTTGTGATCGAAATGTTCAACTAGTTGCCTATACTAAATTGTCGCGAGTTGCATTGAAGTGGGAATACCGAACTTAGAGTGTTGAACGCCGGCGGCTTAGAAGAAGGCTTTGTCAGCATGTATACCATTGTCGTGGTTTTTTAGAGGATGTTCACTCTTCGTCGGACCACCGTGACGCTGAGCGCTGTAAGCGGTCATGTCACGCACAGAAGCAGCACTTGCAATGCTGCTGGCGTTCGAACAAAGCTGCGATAGCAATACGTGTCTTGAGTGAGTAGTTGGCTTGAATGGACAACGGCGGCACTGAAATGCCACCACGGGGATCGAGAGTGCCCGTGAATGAGCATCGTGTAGCGTGGGATCTCAAGTGCTCAGCCTGTGATAGAAAAAAAAAGAAGTTACGAAAATTCTTAGTGAAAACGGGAACTAATTCATGCAATTTTTCTGTCAGAAATAATTTGCAAATATTTTTATTTCTCTTATGATTCTTTTCGCTAGTATTTAAATATGTATATTCCTTTTTGTCAAGCAACCCAATTCTTTGCCAATCCCCCATGGTGGATGTGAGCCACAAATTTATGATCTACATCTGCATCTACATAGCACAGCTGTCTGCAATAGTGGAAAGGCACTCCCCACAGCTTTGCCGAGAGTATTTAATCAACAGCAATGATGCGACACATTAATCCATAGTCTAAAAAAAATTCTTGCGAACTACTCGCGAAAAAAGAAAGAAGAAAGGCAGAAAGCACGTGTCAGCTCCGCTGTTTCCTCAACTTTCCCGGAGTGGATCTGGCTGTGATTTGTGCGGTTGTTGTCGCATGAGGTAACGCAGACATAGCGAGCTGTAACCCACTGAACGCGCGCCAAGGAGAAGTATTTTTACTCTTGTTCTTCAAGCGTCGTGTTGATGATATAAACCGCTGCGTTACTTCTATGACTGCGTATAAATAGAGTGCGTTTGTTGCTGCGGAAAGGTTCAGAAAGTATGCATTATCGGTGTTTACTCAAAGTCTCGATTCATCACCGGACTTTTTGCACCTACTGTTCCCTTGGAGCAGTAAATGATGTGCAGCAAAACGAGCTGAAGTTGCAATAACCAGAATGTGTTGTGGAATTCCAAATCTTTTACGTGCATAGAGTGGGTTTGGCGGTCTCCCCTTATTGATCATATTGCAAAGAACTCGAAACTATCGAACGCTTCTTGTTGAGCTGCCAACGTTTTTCATTACACAGAAAACGTATCAAAATTATATTGCGGAAATGTGGTCTACCGGTTACGTCGGCCGTTCTGCTGTCATTTGGGGTCTTTGTGCTGGGGCACTCGGCCAGGAATATTTTCAAACTGTCGAAAACTTTACATGTGACTCGAATAGATTTGGTAGGTGTATACGAACTACTAACAATTCTTTATTCAGCCTTCCTAGTCAAAAGATCTTCAGTCTCTGGGAAATTACACAAAATAGTGTGACTTAAAATTACACCTATTCATAATCAACGTTACAGTAAAAGAAATCACCTCAAAAATATTTTAGATCTTACTAACTATTAATCATAAATTCAATATGTATGATCCGCCCGACTGTTGGCCAATCTCCCAGAGTGGGTAGGTGCCAATGATCCTACGAGCATCATCAACATTAAATAGAGTCACTTGAAGGTCGGTTAGTTTGCTGCCATTTGTCTAGTACGTGTGGTGTGTATGCAGAGCTGGCCGTCACTTTGTTAAAAAAAAAGTTTCTTTTTGATGTGTGAACCAACCTTTGAAATTTAGCATACATGCCCGTGTGGCATCCGACAATGTATTTTTTGCGGTCCGGTTGCAATTTTTCGGCGCTCTGCCGAGCAGACTTATAGAACACCTGATTATTTAGACATTCGTGGCACTCTCAACAGGCAAACGGCTTATTCAACATCAGCTGGAAGCCGACATGACCACTCTACAGGATTCAATAAAGTCAGACCGCGGAGCACAGAAAGCTACGGTACGGTACAGTCAGATACGGTACAGTCAGATACGAACAGTCAAGCTGGTCTGTTTGAGAGGTTGCCTCAGGAGAGGTCGCTGGCGAGGTCACATGAGCAATGCGAAGGTGTGACATGAAGCTGCTCTTTCACCCTTTATGCCCCTTGTCCCTTTCTCATCGCATCCCCCACAGCGGCCAAGAGTCGTCCTTTTCTTCAATAAGGTACTCATTCATTCGTTCGTTCTTCTGTGATTACGGAAACACGACAACACAAGCCGCACATAAAAGTTATAAGAGAGAGAGAGAGAAATAAAGAGAGAGAGCGAAACAAAAAGAAACAGGAAGATTATAGATAAATAAAAATTAGAGAAACTCATAGAATGATCAGAAAGAGGACGTCAAAGAAACAGAGGAAGCAAGAAGGAGAAAATGAAATAGAAGCAATAAAGCCTGTCCATGCATGCAGTTCCACAGCAGCTTCCAACTTGGCGCCGTTAGGAAAAAGCTGCTCCAATTGTGTGTGTGTGTGTGTGTGTGTGTGTGTGTGTGTGTGTGTGTGTGTGTGTGTGTGTGTGTGTGTGTGTGTGTGTGTGTGTGTGTGTGTGTGTGTGTGTGTGTGTGTGTGTGTGTGTGTGTGTGTGTGTGTGTGTGTGTGTGTGTGTGTGTGTGTGTTCAAGCGTTCTAATCTCGGCAGCGAATACTAAAAAAAGTAAGCAAGTAACAGCCAAATTGCAACTATCAAGAAAAAAAAAACAATTTGCGAATAGTCACTGCACGTGGCTCAACGCTGTCCAAAAGTTGACCAAAAAAATAATGGCAACAAAAACGACGACAGTTCGCAATCCGTAGCGAGCTTGTCTAAATTAGGAACCAGGTCAGTGAAATTTAAACCGAACAGCGATTCGTCACGAGTGGCACAAGGTTTGCCTCAGCGTTCAAGCGTCCACGATTCGGTTAACTCCTTGCTGTGTTCGTTCTTACGGGGAGCAAGTACAAATGCCCGTTCATTGCTGCGCACTAAAGTCAGCTTCTATCTATATCAACAAAACTTATTCAGATCAGAAGAACCGAGCGTTCGGTGAGTTCGTATCGCATTGTGGACGGCATTTCCACAAAAAAAGCTGAACAAGAGAGAGCACGGACAGGCGCAGA